AAGTAACTGGGTTATAGTGTGAAGTAGCCCAATCAGCAAATGCTTAGAGGCTGCAATCGTTTTCCTGCTTAGTAGTAAGTCCTAATCAAAATAATGGGACTGAGTTCTGAAGGGACATAGAGTTGCATTGTGAAACTCACTGCAAGCTGCTGCCCCTTGCAAAATCTTAAATCGAGCCCTAAATCAGTAATCTAGTTATTGCCCACCTGAAAAATGCAGGTTACTGTTCACAGACATGGACCTGATTTGCATGACACAACAGCCCCCATTGGCTTACTTTTGTTGTAGTTGTTAGTCGCGAAGTTGTGTCCAACCCATCGTGACCCCATGGACAACATTCCTCCAGGCCTTCCTGTCCTCCACCATCCCCTGGACTCCACTTAAGCTCACACCAACTGCCTCAGTGACTCCATCTAGCCACCTCATTCTCTGCCGTCCCCTCCTTCTTTTGCCATCTATTGTTCCCAACATTAGGCTCTTCTCCAGGGAGTCCTTCCTTCTCATTATGTGGCCAAAGTATTTGAGTTTCATCTTCAGGATCTGGCCTTCTAAAGTGCAGTCAGGGTTGATCTCCTCCAGGACTGACCGGTTTGATCGCCTTGCGGTCCAAGGGACTCTCAGGAGTCTCCTCCAGCACCACAGTTCAAAGGCCTCAATCCTTTTGCGCTCAGCCTTCCTTATGGTCCAGCTTTCACAGCCATACATTGCAACTGGGAAAACCATAGCCTTGACTATACGCACTTTTGTGGGCAGGGTGATGTCTCTGCTTTTTAGTATGTTGTCTAGATTTGCCATAGCTTTCCTCCCCATCCATTTGTCATAGCTTTCCTCCACCTCCATTTCTTCCCCATCTATTTGCCAGGAAGTGAGAGGACCGGATGCCATGATCTTAGTTTTCTTAATGTTGAGTTTCAAGCCAACTTTTTCACTCTCCTCCTTCACCCGCATCAAGAGGCTCTTTAGTTCCTCTTTACTTTCTGCCATTAGAGTGGTATCATCTGCATATCTGAGGTTGTTGATATTTCTCCCAGCAATCTTGAGGACATCATTTTTGGGTGCTAATTCTAGAAGGTGTTGTAGGCCCTCATAGAACTGGTCAACTTCAGCCTCTTCAGCACCAGTGACTGGGGCATAGACTTGGGCTATTGTGATGTTGAATGGTTTGCCTTGAATTCAAACAGAGATCATTCTGTCATTTTGGCATTTTACCTATCAGGTTTTCATTAAGAAATCTGTGTGTGGGAACATGTAACATGTTGTACGTTCTTCATATCTAGAGAAAACAGGAGTGTTGTTTTTGAATCTGTCTGGTGTTTGAGCTTTTCACCAGTGTACTGTTATTCAGCTGTAAAAACCATTCAGGAGCATGAATGGGAATAGTATACATACAGTCTATAGAAAGATCTCTTTGTGTGGGAATCCAAGTACTGAGAACAAAGTGCTGTCAGCGCACCCATTAGCACTAGCACAGCAGCCTGTAAACAAGCCTAATATGTAACAGCTCCTTGTGACACTCTTTCAAATATATCTTACTAAATCCATTGATTCCAATGTTGGAATGACTAACAGGGTATTGGCAGCTGACATGTTGGCAGAACTCCTCTGCCAGAACTGATGCTGCTGTAACTAAGCAGTCACCAGCGGCTAGACAAAGCACTACAACCGCAAAATCAAGAGCTAATGCAGTGGTGCCAGCAACCTCAAGGGAGGAGGCACCCTTGAATCCACACCTTATGCAGATTAAAGGCTAGGAAAATCTATTCAGTACAGATTCCTGGAATGCACTATAATGCCTTCTTTGTTTGAATTGCTAGTGCAACCTTCTACAAACTTGTGCCTTTTGAATGTGTTTGATTACAAAGCTGGCTGGAACATTATGGGAGCTGTAGTTCAAGGCCTTTGGAGGAAAGGAAGTAATGAAGATGAGAGGGGGGTTTATTGATATTAAAATCTATAATATGTTTCACATCTTTGGATCATTAAGTACTATGTGATTTTTTTTTAGTCATTACAGTGCTGCCTTCTTTAAAAGTTCCCATCGTTGCAGGCTGTTGCTGTTAGTGCAACAGGGAACAGTATAACCATTGGCCAGGTTCATACATATGGACAAGGCATTGTGATTTCCTTCGCAGGATGGTGTGTTGTGCTGTCTGAGCCCTGTTGTGGATTTACCATGCATTATTTCTGGTTTCTGTGGAACTATGGAATAATTGTATAGCTTCCACACTTAGTGGACTATTGTAATGCCTTCAGTGCTTATTGGATAATGTTGTATGGCTGCTGTGGTTCACCATGTCTTATTCAGTCACCTGAACCCAGAAATGCAGTTTCCAGGTACCATAGAGTGATGGAAAGAGCAATAATCTCAAGAGCCATTCTAAATGTTCAGCCTCTGTATGCAGGCCAATGAAAAAGAGACATGCAAAATAGGCAGGAGCAGTGTGCACTGGAATTGAATTTCAGCTTGCATAGGCTGATGAGGTATGTGCTGCCAGCAGGATTTAAGCAGGATGATAGAAACCATGCAACTGCCTGACAGCCTTATCCAGGTAAAAATCACACCACATGGACACTGCATGGCATGGTATAGCACTGCATGGGAATGCAGCCATTCAGTCTAGTAGCTGCAGGATTACTTCCAAAATGTCCATACATTTTGCTCTGTTTTTAATCACGTCCATTCAGAAGGCTGTGTGGCTTGTATTAAAATAAGATCCTCTTATTTGCTAATTAAATTTAAATTCTTTGCATTTCAAAAAGAGATGGAACTCCTCCTTTCTACTCATATAAAATGATCGTATGTTTATCTGTATCTTGTTAATCATATGGCATAAGTTTGCATGAAGAGTCCATCTGTAATTTGGAGTGGAAATGTTTTCTAACAAAATGGTTCTTTTCATTGGATATCTCTGTGCTGACTAAACATTATCAGTAGTTGTTTTGCTTTATGAAAATGCTAAATAGATGTGAATCTAATGATCAATGATTCCATGTACATACCAGATATCACCCTCTTTTGTGAGGACATTGGCTTGCACAGCACTTTTTGTGGGGAGAATTTGGGATCATACTTTTTAACTCTATATTGGAATGTCACACTATTCACACTGCATAGCTGGTGGTAGAGAGGAATCCTGCCTCTCACTCACTGCAGGCTGCTCAGATAGACTTGAGGAGCAAGTCAGGGAGGAAAAGCTGTTTGATTCAGAGCTACCTAGCGGTGGCTTTGGAAAGGATGGACGCTTAAGGTTAATATCTCTGTCCTATTGTATTATGTTAGTTGGAACACATTATTCAAGATCATGTCGTAATTGTATAACAAAAAGATTGTTGACAAGGTAAGGCAGACAAAATGACTTTAGTGAAACAAAAGGTTGGAAGGGAAAGAGCAGTTGAACATTCAAGGAGTTTTTTGACTTTGAAAAGGAAGTGGAGTTCTGGACATGTGTGAAGTATCTAAACAGAATTGTTTCAGTCTTTCAAGTGATTAGATTCATTATTATGGCTTTATAAATAGGGCACATGCTGCAACAGGTGATAAATCTGCATCTCCTAGAAGAACAGTATAGGGCAGTCTCCAAGTTACAAACATCTGAATTTTGAACTGCCATAAAGCATATTCATTTTTTAATTAATGCAGGAAATCATCATTACCAGGGAGAGGGGTGGGGGCAGGAGTGAAAGGGTAGAGAGGGAGGCTTCCAAAGCAGTCCTTTCTGCCCCACCCATCCAGAGAGGGAAATCTCTCCAGCTGCAAAAAGGAGGTTCTGGTGAGTTTGGGTGGGGAGTGGCAGCTAGATATATTCACAGTTTTTCTACTTTCATAGGAGTTCTGTATCCCTGGACCCCATGAAAGTGGAGAGCCAACTCTACATGATCTGATTTATATACAAATTTGACTTAAAGACACATTTCCATTTTCTCAGGAACGGAACTTGTTCATAACTTGTGGACTAGCTGTAGCCATGTCTGGAAGATATTTTATCATTCCCTCTAATAATGAACACAGGTTGTGAGTGTCAAAGAAATGGAAAAACAAGAGAGAATTATCGGCATACTTAGGGAAATCCGAATGTTTGCAGAACTCCACCCTTTTTTAATCTAAGGGCAGAGGGGATATAAACCAGCCCAATGAGTTTGGTCCTACTCAGTAGCCATGGAATGTTGTGTGCCAGGAAGAGAAAGATGAAGAAATGGGAAGAGTGGAATGTCCTGCTCAGAGAGAATGACTGACTGGCAGCCTGAACAGGAACAGTATGGTTTGTATGGAGGAAGAATATCCTGCCACATTCTATTGGAGGCCCACTTATTGGCTATATCACACAGTTTCAAATGGGTTTATTTTACAATCCTATCTATGTTTTCTCAGGCATAAGTTGCATTGTGCTAAGTGGGGCTTAGTCCCTCATAGGTTTGCTTTAGGATTACATCTTCAGAGAGGAACACAACACCTTACTATTCGATTTTACACGGAAACACAAGCAGGACTTCTTCCAGATGGATCAGATGAAAAAAAAAAATGAAATTAGCCAGGGGGTGAGGTAAATTGTAGCAGAACACATCCAGAAGGGACTAAATTAGGGAAGTTATCTTTAAGACATTATCATGAGATATTTTGGTGAGTAAGAACAACATGATAGTGTCAGTTCCAACAACTTGTGAACTGCTGATCTATTTTTTGATGCTCACCATTTTTTCTATTCCTTCTGTATTACTTTACATTGTTGAATGTTACGATTTTATTTAAATAAGCACATCTTTGGTACTTTGCCACATTGGCATTTTTAAAGTGGTGTATGAAATTGCCTGGTATATTTTATAGCTGGTTTCTGTCCACAGTTTAAAAATATTTCCACATGAACATTACCATTAAAATCTATTTGCTCTCTCTTCTATATTTACAAAACAAATACGCCATTTATATGATGTTCATTATTGAATGTGGCCACCAGATGTCACTGTCTAAACATTACTGAATTCATTTTTCTTTCTATTTTAAGCTCATTTTCCCTTTTGACTTGATTAAGTATGATTTTCAAAACGAGGAGCCACTTAGAAATAAAAGTGGATGGTGTGAAAGAGTTAAGAAAGGTAAGAATCATATCAGAATTTTATCATGAGTTTTGATGGCAATAATTTTTACAGAAAATTGTTACAGATGAAGGCAGAAGCTGTGGTAATTAAATTCAGAAGGACCAGAAGATGTGGAAATATCCATAGTTGAAAATGCTCAACTTTCCATACTTCAAGTTAAGGCCACAAACTATATAGCATAGGTAAGCAGAGAAATAATCCTGCTACTGGTAGGAGACAATATACCAAGACCAAGTTGCACTGTGGACTCAGCAGCAAGCTTAGATTCTTAACTTTAACTTTTTTAAAGCAGGTGCTTCCTATTCCTTCTCTAAAGGTTACAAAGTAAACTTTAAAGAAAATTCATATGCAGTTCATATGATTAGGCAGTTCATATGTGGACTCTCACATAGCTGGTTCTAACAAGGCTTCTATATAGTAGTGAAATATATGAAATGTCAGCAGAATACTATGGAGTGCTATAAACAAGTTTTAGAAATTGGTTAACTCACCTATCTGAAGCTGTACTAGCAAGAGTCAGGCAGGGTGGCTGGCTGGGGACACAATGGAGGCAAGGTCACCTCTCATTCCTCCTAGAACTTTTTGCCTCCTTGGGTGGGTCTCTAAACTGAACTAGCTGACATACTGTCAGTGAACAGGAGTGGCAGTGGACAGACTAGGATCCTGTGTTTCTGCTCCACTCCCTTTCCACTGCTGTACCCTGTTTTTGTTCCTTTGTGTTCTACCAAGGGCATGTTTGTGACCTCAGAGAAGCAGTTGCTCAGTTGCTCTCTTTGGTGGCTGTCAGTTGGAAGGTGGACAATCTAAGGCTGTTTGCCTGTTGAGATTGTAGCAGTGTCTGTGGCCTTGAGAGGAGGAATCCACCATATCTTATAGTTCTTGAAACACTCTTTCTAGGACCATAGCGTTTGTCTTCCCACCATACTGAACCTACTGAACATAATTCACCAAATAAAGGAGATCTGACAAACTGATTCAGGCTGCAATTTTATTCCCATTAACCTAGGAGTAAGTCCCACAGAATTTTATTTGGACTTATTTCTAAATAGGCATTGTTAGAATGTAATGCAGTGTTACTGCATTATCGAAGTACATGGGAAACTATTTGCATCAAGTTTGTTTTGGGTAGTTGCAACTGAACAATAATAAAACCTTAAAATGAAAGACTGCAATTTAAAGCAAAGGTGACAATGCCCTGGATGAAGAGTGTTTCACAATTTTAATTTTAATTAAATTATTAATATAAGTTTGTGATCTCCCACTTCTCATTTTGCCCAGAAAGAACCAATATTCTGACAGCCCATTTAACTTCATTAGGACAAGTGGCAGATTCTACACAGTTTAGAGTTCAAACTTTAAACTGTGCAGTTTTATGCTTCATTTTATGTCACCTTGCAGGTAAATCCAGGAAATGTACATAATCTCATGTTGCTTGTTAAGTTTTTGTATAATTCAAATTTTAAATGCCTAACCCACAAAATTTCCAGTTGTTATAGATACTAATATATGACTTCCTTACTGTTCTTAGTGATGATCTTTATATGCCCACTTTATAGAGATGCTGCTCCTTTTTATTTGCTAGTAAAGCATCCAGGATTTTTAACTACATCACTTTTGGCTAGGGATGTGTAATGCTGGGAATTCCTTTCCGAGTCTGACAGGATTCTGTTCCAGTAAGTGGTGTTGGTCTGGAGTTTATTCTTTCTCCAATTCTGGAAATACATTGTGCATTATTTGCACAAGAAGCAGTTTGCACAGATTGGACTTTTTGTGTGTGGGGCTCATTTTTAAATGACCCAGTTTTACAAAAGTCAAAATCTTTCTCCCAAAATAAATTTGCAGAAAAAAGTGTCATGAAAATTACCAAAGAAATCTGCATATGGGTTTTACTTGCTACAGATCAAGGCAATGTCTGTGGGATGGAACAAAGTGAAGCAAAATCTGTCAGTTTTCACCCCCTCAAATAGAATTCTCAAACATTCTTATTGGCAAGATTGTTTAATAACCTCCAGCGACTGCTGTTGTCTGGTGGCCATATTGTGAACCCACATTATTTCTTTTTTATTTGAGAGCTGTTACAATTTCACAGTAAGGAAGAACTGTCCATGGACCATGATAAGCCTCTCCAGCCATCAATGGGTGGAGGAATCAAGATTAAGATATACAGATTTGTTTACCTTTATCCCATCTATGTTTCACATATCATCTAGATTGTCAGTTCATTGATGTAGCCAGAATATTTTTAGTGATACATGAAATTTCATTCCACTTGTACAAGTGCACATTAGTGCCAATGTGGTCTAGCAGAATTATATATTAGTGAAAATGTGTACAATCCCCACCAGAAAAAATAAACAACGAGTAAGCAACCCCACACAACTTAGAGGAAACCATTCTTTAGACCTTGTAGGTCATATTTATTGAAATCCTTAGCTCTCTGGTACGCTGAACAGAAGCATTGCTTTTAGGAAGTCTTACTACAACATTTTGCTGCAGGCCATTTTGCTGTAGTGACCTAAATCTAATCTGGGCTACTTCCCAATATCTTGCGATTCCCCAATGAAGCCATTTTGGGAGGAAAATGTGTTTGATGTCCTGAATGAAATGCATGCTTTAGGTTTTAAACATGGCACAATTATATAACTTCCCCACAATCAAGGCACTGAGGAGAGTTTACAAAGACTGTTAGTTTATTTCAAGAGCACACAGAATCCACTTTTCCAATAGTTTTCCTAGGTAAGGGGTAAGGATGATAAAATTTGTCAGTTTACCATACAACTGGATATTAAATTTCTGGAGAATGGCATGCTGCCTCAAATCTGCTTCTGGCCATGTTTCAGTCCTTACGTGATCTGCTGCTGCCTTAAAGTGGTTTGTCAAGTGGTTCGTTTCCTTGTAAAAAAGTCAATGCAATAGAAGCTCGCTCTCACACTGTATCCTTTGTTACTAACACTGTGTAACCACATTTCTAGAGGCAGAGAGTCCTTTACAATATAATTTTATTCAAAAGTCCCTTTGATATCAGTAGAACTTAATACCAGATAGGTGGCCTAAGAACTGATATTGTAATATCTTTTTTTGAAACACGTTGGAAACATACTGAGCAAATTTGTAACTTTGTCTCTGTGTAAAATTCTACCCATAGGTGAGCCTGGACTTTTAATATCCAAAGTGACGTCAAAGAATCCATTTTTTGGCTATGCTGGGAATAAGAAAGATACGGAAAAGAAGTTACTCTGTGGTGTATTTAAAAAAGAAGATTGCTATTTCAATACAGGAGATGTAATGGTTCAAAATCAAGATAATTATCTTTACTTTTGGGACAGAACAGGAGATACATTCAGGTATAGTCAGTAAAGATATGTAATCAACATTTCTATTAGTGTGTGTGTGTGTGTGTGTGCGCGCGCGCGCAAGTGCATGGGGGGCAGGGAATTGCTTCCAGTTACTCTGTTTCTCCACATTTTCCCTTAAATATTGTCCTAAAGAGATTTCAATACAGTGATTTTGCCAACAAGCCATTGACCACAACCATTTTGTCCTGTCTTGGTAAATATTTTACAAGACAGATAGTTCCTCAGATATAATAACAAAGACAGTAAAAAAATAAAATATATTTGCAGGCCAAACCCACATAAATTCATTATGGATATATTTATTTTGAAGTTTACAAATTAATTTATATAGCAAAACCAGCTCAAGTTCAAAACTCTAGTCGAGTTTTGTAAGCCAAGTTTCCCTAGAAGTTTAACGCAGAGGGTTTGGGCAAAACTATAAACTGTGGTTTATTTTCATATGAACAAGTGGGTTGTGCCTTGGACTCACACAGTCCTCCCTCGCTTCTCTTCTGGCATGGCCAGGGGAGAATATAGGAAACATTTGTTTTCCTTTTTAACTAACTACAGTTTTGCTTTATGTCCAGCACAGACAAGTTGTCGTTAACTGTAACAACTTGACCTCAAATATTGCTAAAAAAACAGGCTTGTTTGAAAAAACCATGGTTAGGATGAGCAGTATGTTACAGCTTGGATTTAAGGCTACACTGCAGTTAACTGAAAATTGGAAGATAGTAAAAGCTTCCAGTCCTCTCCCTGCAGCCACAGCACAAGACCAAGGTTTATTCATGTAATAATGAACAATGGCTTTGGCGAATGGGGCAGCATAGAAGCTTGCTAAATAAATAAATAAACAAACAAATAAATATGTCTGAATGCAATGAAGACCCTAAATCAAACAAAATGCTGTGCAAGAAACAGGCTTTTAAAAGAATTCAGTGTTTAATAACTTTCTTTATTCAATTAAAAATTAAAGTTAGAGTTTAACTTTTATATATACATATACTTCTGTACTTTCTCTATTTTAGGTGGAAAGGGGAAAATGTTGCAACTACTGAGGTTTCAGATGTCATTGGTATGTTGGATTTCATTCAGGAAGTCAATGTTTATGGGGTTTTTGTACAAGGTAAGAAAATATGCTCCTTCTATTTTGAAAATACAGTGAATCATCTATATTTGGTTTATGGGACCACAATTTAGAGATGTTTGGGGTGGAATGGGACAGCAGGGAATAGATAATTTTGAAAGAAAAGAATATTGCCTACTCACAAATTGAATGTTTTTACATACATAAAATGTCACAATAAAGCTTTATAAGTAAATAAATTACCACACATATTACTAAAATGTAAATAATATAACTTGTGACCTATTTAAATTTTAATTCTTTTAACTAGCAGGGTAAAATACTTGTTGAGAAAAGTTGTAGTAAATACCAGACTGATAAGATGTATAGCAGTTTTCTGGTTGGAAATTATAGTAAAAATCTACTTGTGGTTAGATGATTGTGGCAGATGATGAAGATGATTCTAACAGAGAAGAAATGGCTTGTGTCCTGTGCTTCTTGACATAGTTATTGCAATCCATAGGCACACTAACTCTGTGGTCAGTTAGAGGTTAGTCCAGCTATGTATGTATGCAAACTAAGGCAGGCTTATGAAGAAAAAAATCATCACCTTCTTTCTCCCAGTTTAACTACTTGTCATTAGGAATGACCTAGAAATAAAAGTAGCTCAGTTAAAGTAGTCTAACTCTAACATTTCACCTCAGCATACTGCCAAAGGACATCTTTCTACGGCTGGTGGCAGGAGACAGGGGAATCATTGCATCACTTTGCAATTAACTCAGACTCCTAACATCTTTAAACAAACCTTTCCTAAATTAAGAAAGATAGGTGGCATAAGTACTGCCTTGGATTGAATGTGTCCCAACAAAATGGCCTTTGGAGCTAAACTCAGTTGACTTGTGTAGGATTTGGCTCACTCCTTCTACACAGGGCCCTTCAACCATTGATGGATTAGATTCTGACTCAAAACAGGATGGGTAGCAAGAATCCCCAGCTGAATAGCCAATGTCAGAGGACCAAGATAACAGAGGTAACAAAACAGCAACAACTAGGGAGAGCAGATATGCTGGGGGTGTACCATCAAAAGAACATTTACAGTTTATTCAGACATACAGGAAATACTTGAGGCAGGGAGGTAGCCCCCAAAGGGACCACAAAGATGGAATCTGCACAAGAGGCTTTAATAACCTATCAGTTACATACACAGTTTGTGGGAAGGAGAGGGATCAGGTGGGGAATCATGTACACTGTATGCCAGGGGCACACTAGGGTTGAACACAATACAAAAAGAGCAAGCTTCAGTACAGGCAAGCATTAGCATGTCTTATGTGTACCCCAAAGGGAAGGCCTTTCAGAAGAGGGACATTAGCATTACTAAGGTGTATGTGGGAAGCAAGACTTGTAATATGGATTCCTGAATGTCTTAAGTCTAAAGCTGTTCTTACGGAGTCCAGATTTTAGCAGCCATATTATGGCAAAGCTTTTGATCTATCTTCATGATGTCATGATGGAGTCATGCAGTAGGAAGCAGGCAGTTGCAAACTCTGTGGGAAAGCTTAGTGAACGAACTGATACGAGTGCAGGGGAAACCCAGATTCCTTAATCCAGTAACATTGTGTCAGGTTAAGAGGTAAGACCATTTGAGAAGCATCAGGTGTTCCAAGTGACTGATCCTTAAGCAGACCGGTCCACTTGAAGGTGGGCTTAACTCTTTCAGTTCAGGGATGAGAGGAGAACCAGCCATCTTAGAATCAATATCTTCATTAAGCCACATTTCTCTAATGGCTAGCATTCTAACTCTGCTTGTTGCTTCTGCAAAAGGTTACTGCAATACACTGTGTGTTTGTTGGATTACAAAGGCTGCATAATAAAGCCTTTTTGTTAGAAGCATTTGTTTTGTCAAAAGATGGCCCACAGAAGATAGATCTGCTAAAGATCCATGCCATGAAACACATTTGAATGCAATCATGTATACTAAATCATTACAATCTGGTGAGATGCTCCTGTCCTCCAAATCCATACTTTGGAAAGGAGTTTCATCATATGAACATACTGGAATAGAAAGAGGACAATGTGACAGGGATAGGAAATGAACATAGTGTACCATTGGAGTAACTTAAGTGACACAGTGCTGCAATAAAAGCTTGGTGTAGATCTGATTCTTCCCAGAACATTATAGTTGCTTTTTGGCAAAGGAAAGAAAGCATTGACTTGGTTCCTGCTGCTGCCAGGCAGAGCTCAACAGTCTAAGGATGTCTGAGCAGGGTATCTAGAGTTGTAACTCAAGGTCAGTTATTGGCTTACAACTCTGGTTATATCTCCTGTAAAAACCTGCAATTGCTGAACCAAGTTTAGAGGTAGATTGTCCCAGGCTTGTGCAGCCCATTGGGAATGGGCAGGAACCCAGTATACTCAGAGGTAGTCATGACATGTTAATTCAGCTTTGAAAATAATAACAATGTAGGGGGCGTGCTCGCCCATCCACCTATGATTTGTTTAATCGTAAACACTGATATACGCCACTTAATCTGTACCTGTCAAAATGAAGCACAGTTGTTTGAGTTTCCAAGGTGGTTATAAAACACGGACCCATGTTAAGTATGTGTACAATTTTCCTTTTCCCTTAAGACTTTTCCAGATGCCAAGAAATTCTGGACTTATTAGAATTAAAGAATGCTGTTTACATTAAATGCATTAAATGTGTGTTCCAGAACTCAAGGAGGTGTTTATTTTTGAAAACCTTAAAAAACTATGCAAATGCTCACAAGTGAGTAGTAAAGCATGAAGCATTCAGCAATTTAGGAAATTAGGGGCTGGGAGAAATTAACACTAACATGAGGGGCAGAGGGTCATTTTCTGTTGAGCCTCCAGAGTACTCCCAGCAGCTTGTTCCATTCCACATTACATGTGTGCTCACCTGGCACAGTCCTGGTGGGGTGTGGGGAGAGGATCTGTTCCAAGTTGTCTCTGGCTCCATAAAACAGGAGAGCCACTCAGAGATCCTTCACTTTCTCTTTTTCCTCCTTCACCCTGGCAAGGATTTCAGTCTCTGACTTGCAGTTTCTGAGTTGGATTTCTGTGTGTGGAGAGCCAATTGTGTAACATTTAAAGGTTCTATGGGGCTATTTGATTATTCAGAGATTTGTTGATGGACATTTGCAAACGCAATTTCACAAAATGAATCTCTTCTTATTAACAATTATATAACAGCCAACATGAGTAATTATAACAACAACAAAAATGCTACAACTTGTGCAGCGAAATCCTTGGCAACAGCACTAATACAGAAGTTGCTTGTAGAACTGCAAAGTTCAAGTGTCCTTTTGAATTCAAATTCAAACAAAAATTCAAGAAGTCTTCCTCAACTGGTTTGAGTATCCATAACATAGAAGTAGCAACTCTACATGAAGAATCTTCAAATCAATGTAATAAAATACCAATTCAATTTCATAGTCATGAATTCACTGTGTAGATTCACCCCTCCAACTCAAACATACAGGAATTATACTTAAACCAAGTTGGCAAGGGCCTTAAGTGTCTAAGGGGCAACAGCAGCTCCAGAATTTTCAGCTTTTTTGCTCTTTCTGATTCAAATCTCTTAAAGCCCTGCTCTTTCTTAGTCGCACCCCTTTGGGCTGAGCCAATATTTCATAAGGGTTATTACTTTTGGATGGAATGCTATATTGCTGGTCTCACTGGCTTCACCCTCTGGGGGTTGTGAGAACAGGAACAAGTAGGGCATCCTTTGTCCTTCTTGATTTTGTGGTGGGACAGAAGGATCTATCCCCCTGCCTCATTTTCAGGATTTTGCACTTGTGTATAGTCAGTGGAACTAAAAACAACCAAGCAAACATAGAAACAAGGAACTTTAAAGGGCCTTTCCAACCCCTCTCCACTTGATGGCAAACCTCATCAAGCTAGTAACACCAATTAATACCACTAAGGAGTACATATGTGATGTGGGAAAATGGCATGAAAACTTTGGATATCCTGTATAAGTCTCGCTGTGAGTCTTTGAAATAAAGAATGCGGGATGTGGCTATAACAACATCATGAGGAGATCTTAACAAAATGAGGCTAGGTGTAGATCCAGCCCTCATTTAAACTGTTAGGAATACTAAATATCTCTCTAGATCATTGAAAATCTGTGGATTTTAATGGATGGAACATTAACCCTATAATAATTTCCTGCAGGTTATGATGGGAAAGCAGGAATGGCATCTATCATGTTAAAGCCTAAGAGATCCTTAGATTTAGAAAAACTTTATGACTGCGTGGTGACGTATCTCCCCAGTTATGCCTGTCCACTGTTTTTAAGACTCCAGGTAATATACAGCAACATTGTAAACATGTCAAGATTCTTTATTGCTAGCAGAATATCAGCTTAGCAGTGTATTAAGCTATATATCCTGAAAAATAAACGATGGCTTCAGCGGGAGCTATCTAACGGGCATTTCAAAGATCAGTGAATCCTGCTTACAGTCTTTGTAATGAGCTGGAATTATATGGCACACTAATGAAAACTACAGATTATACTAAATTAGAAGACTTGTATACCTCATGGAAAATGGTAAAATGGATTAGAAAGATTAGAAGTATGGGCTGGGAATAACAAAATGAATTCAGGGTAACAAATAGCAAAAGTTGGAATGAAGGAATGCTGTGTCTGTAATGGACATCATAATAAAAATTGCATTAAGTTATGATGATGCTTTGAAAAGTAAAGTCAGTTATATAGTTAGATTTGTAATTGTGGATTCCGGCTGATCCAAGGCTGGCAAACACACACACACAAACATGGTCTCCATTCACATCTCAGCTGGTATCTTTGAATCTTCAGCCTCTTATGTTCCATTATTAGATTTTGCCAATAGAAATCCATGAGCCAAAATACTGGGTACCTAACCCATACCAATAACAACACAAGAAGTTGAGGCGGGCAGTGTTGTGGGGGGGGGGGCAGGGGAGAAACTAAAGAGGGATCTCTGGAATGGGACTGCAAGATATATATTTAGAATGGACTCTTGCAAAACTGGCCTACTATTACTTGTAATAAGATGAATATCTTTAAATGACTTGAGTAAATATTCACCCTCCCTGAACTATTGCATTTGAATGTGACCAAGTGTACCTCTATTCCCAAGCACAACCAGACAATAACACTGAGAGCAACAGGCTGGAGGTAGGACATGTATTTTTCTAGGAATATATCAATCTACTGGTCTCTTTTGGCTCTTGTGAATGTATTTCGATTAGGTAAAGCAGGAGCAGATACTGATGATAAATCTTATCTAACTAGAGAGATGAGCCAGATTCACTAAATGGCCTTTTCCATCATTTTCTGTTAGAGTTGTATGACTCAGAAGAAGCTTATTGTGAGAGCTAAAAAGGTGTATTTAGATTAGCATTATTATTAGGTTTATTTATATTTCTATACTACCCAATAGCTAACTCTCTGGGCAGTGCACAACAATTAATAAAATACAATAGAAATAACAGTAAAACTTCATAACATTCTGTTCAAAATGGAAAACTGGCATTTAACAACCTAAACAATTAAAGCAGATTCATACAGCTCAGCTTACTAAAACACCCTCCCCCGCAAGTCCTATTTGGATCTATCAAATGCCTTGGCTTTGAGTCAGACTTAGCCTGGTGCCAGAAAGATAGTGAAGTTGCACCAGGCAAGCATCAGTAGGGAGATCATTTTATAATTTAGGGGCTACCTCAAAGGAGGACTTCTTGTTGCCTCTAACCAAGCCTCCCTTGGGGGCAGCTGTCATTGGAAGTCCCCAGTTGCTGATCATGGTGTCCAGTTATATTGTTGTTGGGAGGATTGTAGTTGGATGTTCCATCAAGTGTTGGGGCCCCAAGCTATGTAGTCATTATATGTAGGTTATAACCAGCACCTTGAATCTGGTTCAGAAGGGTATAGGCAGCCAGTGAAAGTAGTCCAGAACTGCTGTTAGGTCCTTGGACCTTCAGGTTCTGGGTAAAAGTCTGGCTGCTGCATTTTACAGAAACTGCAGCTTCTGAACAGTCTTCAAGGGCAGTCCCATATATGGTGCATTGCAGCAGTCTAGTGTAGAAATTACCAGTGCCTACTGAAACGAGGCTGTCCCTGTGCAGTATACTGCTAAAAAACACTCCTTACCATTGAGGCCAAGTGACAAAGATAACACATGAAGCACTCCCAGGCCTAGTCTCTCAAGGTTAGTGCAATACTATGTGAAACAAGTTTAGCACACTCCATCTGATCAGGAGACCCGCCTGCCAGGACCATCTCAGTCTTGCCTGGATAGGTTCAGTTTGTTAGCCCTCATCCACTCCACTGTCACAGTTGGGCACCAGCTTAGCACATCTACAGCTTCACCTGTGGTAGATAAAAAATAGACCTGTGTTCATTAGCATAGTGATGGCAATGCACTCCAAAATTCCAGATGATCCTTCTCAGTGGTTTCATGTAGATGTTAAGTAGCATTGGAGACAAGATGGATCCCTGAGGAACTGCATACTGGAGAATCCATGGAGATGACTATCCAAATAGGAATGGAACCACTGCAAAGCTGTACTGCCTTCTCCAACTTCAGACAATTGCCACAGAAGAATCCTGTGGTCATTGGTCTTATAAACTCCTGCACTGTCCAGGAGTATCAACGTGGGCATATTTCCCGTGACACTTATCATACAGAGTAACCCAAAATTGGTTACCAAAATCAGGCCTGAATCCTGATTGAAAATGAATTCAGGCTGGTCACATCCAATAGGATTTGGAGGGCAGGCTGGGCAACTGCCAGACCTATGGATGCAAGAAAAGCCAGAACATGGCACAGCCATTGATTGGCTGGGCTGTGTTCCTCTTGACTGGTCCTCTCAGCCCTGCATTTCCTTTACCATCACTACAGCCATTGCACCTCCACAGATTCCCCTACTTGCCTCTGTATTTTCTCTCCAAGGTGCATTGACAGGCCCTAAATTCAAAGGAGGGCTCTGAGAAAACCAAAAATAGCCAGAAAGATGTCTTGCCCTTTTACTCCCCAAGTGCCAACCCCCCGCTTTGGGTTATTGCTGCTTGGGTTTCCAATAATCATGGGGTGGCTCCTTTGCCGGGCACAGTAGCAACTTGTCTGAGATCAGGTCCCAGACCAGCAAGTACAATCAGAAGTGAGAGAAATTGACTAGCAGTTGCAAAAAGTCCAGCTTGCTTACTACCCTGGAAGGTGTCTCAGTTGCTGGCAAGCTTCTAGGCCTTTTGTTCTATAGCTTCCAAACTTCATTTTGTAGACATAGAAAGTCAGCCTTTGAGCACAGATTTGGATAGCTATTACTTAGAAATTTGGACTCAAAGTTCCTACAGGCAAGTTTCAGAACTCCATGCTTGACATCATGAGAAATAATGAGTAGGCAGACTTCCAAGATCCTCAAAGGCAACAGCACAAGAAAAGGTAGTCAATCTCTGGTTGGGGCACTTGGCAGAAGCAGAGTCCATAATCCAATAAAGGGTTGAAAAGTCAAGTATAAAAGTTTGTTCTCAATTTCACCTACTTAATTTTTCCAAGTATAAACAAAATATCTTTTTTCTTTCGTCTGTAGGAAAAAATGGAAGTTACAGGAACTTTCAAGCAACTAAAAATTAAGTTGGTGCGGGAAGGATTTAATCCATCTACAATCAGTGATCCGCTTTATTTTTTGGACAGTTCAAATAAGTCGTACATTCTGTTAACCAAAGAAGTACATGATAAGATCTTACGTGGTCAGTTCAAACTTTAATGTTTACTTATTAACAAGAATTTGTGCAATCAAGTACATGCAAAAGAACAAAAGTTTAAACAGGGTTTTGTAGCTATCAGTGTGGTCTCCGGGGTAAAATTTGTACGTTCAGAATTTTAGTTAATATTTGGCAGAGAATGTATTGATTTCTGTCAACTTTCTCTGTTTTACTCTCAGTGCATACTGATTATTTTCTACTGCTCAGCATAAGTAAGTCTTGTTGAATGCAATAAGACTTACTCTCAGGTAAGTGTCTACAGGATTGTAGACTAGAGAGCCAGGGTGGCAGATTGTTGGACTGAGACTCAGCAGATCAGGATTCTAGTCCCCACTGGGCCATGAGACTCTCAAGGAGACTTTAAGCCAGTCACTGACTCTCAGCCTAATCTACCTCACAAGGTTGTTTGTGGGATTAAAATGGAGAGGAGAAGGGGGATTGTGTTAGCCACCTGGCAACCCTTGTAGGAAAAAGGGTGGGGTACATATATAATAAAATGCACAGAGTGTCAGATTTAGCTACATATAGTTAAATACACTGGCCTAATCTATTACATTTTTGACAAGAAAGTCATCTTAAGCTTCCTGTATGTTTGTATAAAAGACACAAGTAAAGGATGTTTAGAGTGAAGAATAACAGAGCTACAGTGTAGTTATCTTATGTTGTGTATTTAATGGTGTTTGGTTCCTCACGGTATTCAACTAAAATTTATTTTTAACGAAATAGTTCCAAAGAGAAGAAATAATTTTGTAATTTTGCATTGTTAACTCAGTGAAAACTTGTTTTTAGATATTTCTGCTACAATTGAGTAACATCCTCTTTATTTTCTTATGCTTTCTAATTTTAATATCTTCTGAATCATAAAGGTATTCCATATTCTGTTGTTATATTAACCCTCTTCACTAATCTCTTCAAAATACATTTGGGTTCAGAAAGAAATGAATTAGGCTGAAACCTACATATGCTTACCAGAGCTTAAGTCGAATTGAATTGAATAGGGCTTACTATTGAGTAGATTAACACAGAGGTGTGTTGTTAACATTTATTTTGAGCCTAAAAACAGAGATTACACATGATATTTTTCCTATACTGGTATAGGGGAAGAACACCTGTGTACGCAGTCATGTGAAAGACAAAACATGATGTTTCCATGTTTGGAACAAGTTTAGAAATAGTGCCTTCTTAAAAGGTGTATGGGAAGTAAAATACACAGATATCCATTACAAGAGGTACGAGATTTATCCCTACCTCCATGGAAGAAAGATGCCATTTCTAAAGCAGCCATCAAAGTTGTCCTAGCCATATGTCAAGATTTATTTTAATACATTAAAAAAAATCTTGGGGGTGGGGTTGCACCAGAATGTACACAAGGTGGATCACAAGAAAGAATTGAAAAGTGTATTTCTTGTATCCTGACACTTGAGATAGTTCCACATAAGACTTTTATCTTACAAGCATACTGTGTAAAAGCACAGGAGTTTATGGGGTGGGTGTCTGGACTATGTTTTCTTCAATTTATAGCTCTCCTAGATTTTCCCATGGTTTCATCCATCTTTTTTCTTACCAGAAGAATAGCAGTTAAGGAATAATACAATAGATGCACAATCACTTTTAATCATTTGTACCAGGAACACTCTAGTGGAAGCATGCACAGTGTTTAAGAATATCTGTGTGATCTTTCAGATTTATCTTGAAATTAAGTTTGCCAGGGTCCTAGAAATGTACAGCTTAGATCCATAACTGATCTGTGCAAAATGAAAGGAACTTCTACTCATGCAAACCCTTCCACCACAAATTGTGGTGATTTCACTTCCTGCCTAGCATCTCTTGTCAAAACCCATTCTGTTCCAGAGGTGTTTCCAGTTCCCAGAAACAGATTTTCCTTCAGAGCGAAATTAGAATCATGAAACCCCCAATCCATTCACAGAACAAAAGTTAGGAACTAATGCAGTGTAGAAACAGGGATCACTGTTGGTAAGGAAATGGATACCCACACCCAAAAGCAGCAATCCTATATATGCTTACTTAGAGAGCCAGTGTGATATAGTGGTTAATTGCATGGGATTGGGAATAAGGTGATCTGAAATCTAGTCCCTGATCAGCCATGGAGCCAACTGGGTGAGGTTGGGCCAGTCACAGACTCTCAGCCCACAAGCTTCTTGTTGTGGGGATAAGACTGGGAGTGGGAGAAGTAGAATGATATAAGTTGCTTTGAGCTGTTTAAAAATAAAAGTGTGGGATAAAAATCTAATAAATACATAGGAATAAGTCATTGCATTTAACAGGACTTACTTATAAACAGACATGTACAGGATTGTGCTGTAAGGCATATTTCAGCACTGACATTGATATGCATGATGTTCTCCATGAAGATTCTGCAAAAGCAAGATACACCATAAAAAGCTTAAAACATGTCTAGAACCATTCTGATGAAACAGAAGTGCCCAGAAATTTCTAGTCAGCAGTGAAAATGACTATGACATTTTCATAACAATGAAATAAAAATATAAATTCTTCAAATGTTCTTATTGACTTAATTACAAGCAAGATCGTATGGTTTTGTTTATTTTAAGGGGCTATATGTCTGTCATAGCTGCAAGACCATGAAACGTGGACACTTGAAACTTGGCATGCATACCAAGGCTGCAGTTCAGGATTGTTTGATTTTTAAAACATATAATTAATTTTAGTTAATTTTTCTCTGTGTTTGAAGCCTGAAGTATATTCATTCAGCAGGTAACTGGTGCCAACCTTTGCAGTCAATAAAATATGTGTGGAACAAGTTATATGGCCCTTGCCATTGCTTTGGGACAGCTCCCATTAATGAGTGGAAGAAACAGGTCCATCCCTTGAGCCGCTGTAGAAGCTTAACCTGGCTGGGCAAGGTCTACAGGTTCCAGTAAACATGAATGGGCACAATGTGCCTGAGTTAGAGTGCTGTGTAATTTTTCTGGAAGGCATCACTAAGCAATATTCTAATCCATGCAAACTTGCATCTGTTCCCAGGTAAACAATAGAAGGTAGTGATGAGAACCCCAGCTTCATGGTAAAACGTGCTTCAGTCACTGGTATCTCTAGTTAAAATGCGCAGGTGGCAGATGAAGTCTTTTTCTTAGACTCTGGAGAACCACTGCTGGTTAGAATAGATACTGAGTGTGGGGAATGAAAGAGGCAGTTGTTCTTGGCAGGCATTTCAGGGTCAGGGTGACACCAGCTCTTTGGTTGAAGACGAAGCCTTGAAAGAGAGGCCTGCAGACACAGAGTTGGCAAGAGGCTGCCATCTCCAGCTCTTCTGGAAGACCCCGAGAACTGATAGGGCCTGGGAGTCCCAGGAAGAGACATGGGAGACTGTATGACGTGGCATTGGGAGAGAAAGGCTAGCCAGCTAGAGGGCCTGCGTATGCCTAGTCTCCAGAGGGGGACTCCCAGATGTGTAGCTTCCAGGGCTACTCAGAAATAGTTTCTAGTAGGGTTCAACAAACTGCTCTGTGCATGCTCAGAGCCTCTTCTATGTTGGCTATAGCTTGCTGGATGTCGCCTGGAAAGAAAGAACTTTTGCCAAAGAACTGTTTGTCGTCTGAGAGAGAGAAGGGAGAAACCCATATGGTCAAATAAATAAATGAATAGTCCAGCCTGGTATGGGAAAACTTTCTATAATTTTCCTTCAATTTAAAATTATGAAATGTATGCATACACTACTTTAACTGGGTGACTTTGGGCCAGTCACTGGCTCTCAGCTGAACCTATCTCACAGGGTTGCTGTGAGGGTACAGTTGAATAGAAAAGAATTATGTAAGCCACCTTGGGCTCCTTGAGAGGAAAAAGGTGGGACATAAATATAATAATACTAAAGAACCAACATGTGAATATAGTTTTGTTCCAATTTTCTCTTGGTAGTTTTATCATCATACCCTTAGGGTACATTTGAATTAGCTTGTTTCCCAGGATCTATCCCTAGAATAATTGCTATATAACCACCACAGCTTTAGAGGGGACACTGATTGGAACTTAACTTCCAGACTGGTTGCAAGAAAAATGCATTGTCAGCAAACTTTCCCTGCAAGATTTAGAAAGGTTCCAGCCTTTCATTTGAAACCAGCCTATCTAGATGAGCATCCAAAAGCCTGCCACCTAGACAGAATGGCATTTCAGGCAGCCAAAAATATGTTGTGTATTCCCAGCCCAGCAGATCCACATGGACAAGAGCATATTTGCCAGCTTGGGGGTGCTACATTTCAAGTAAGAGGCTTCCTAGAATAGAAAGATCTATTTCAGGGGTCTCAAACTCACCTGGGGGCCACTGGAAGTAGAGTCTGGGTGAGGCTGGACCGCATCAAGCGGTGGTGGTGGGCCGCTCATCCTGCAGCCTGCCCAGGTGCCGCTGGCGCTTTGAAGGCCTCAGGGCCCCTCCCCTGTGCCCTGCCCGTCCCGGCAATTGGCCCGCGGGCCGCGAGTTTGAGACCCCTGATCTATTTGGTTCAGGAGATAGAATAAGCAGTGACAGGAATGATGGAGACTGCCATCTGTTTACAATAGCCGTCTGTAAGTACAGTGCAACTATATTGTCAGTGGGGATGATTACTAAAACCTGAGTGATATAGTCATAGTCATACAAAGTAATCAGGCCTGCAGCAAGAAGGAAAGAGCTGCAAGTGTGAACCTTGCATCCAGCAAAGATCATCAGCAGAATATTCCTGAATAAGAATCTCTAGCCTGAGCAGCTTAGCTATGAGTAGATCTGGTTTGAAGGCTTCCAGGCTACCATTTGATAAAAATAAGAATTAAATCATTAACAAATAATGGTCTATTCCATCATCCGCTGAAATTTCTGCTTTTCTAGCAAAGGTACAGGAGCCTTGTTTTCCTTGCCCTATCCTAGGTACCAAGATGCAGGGGTACAAAGATGTACAGGTATGAAGAAAATACTTGTGGCACTATCCAGGTGAAGTTACACATTTTAAGTTCCTTTGATTTAGGAGAGAACTAAGCATGGGCTTAACTAATCCACTGAAATCAGTCTTAAACATGTTTACATTATTTAAACAGTTGCATTTGTGCTGTTCATTTGCAATATGTCCAGTAGTATATATTTAATGGATTTCCCTTATTTGTTCTATCATGAATACAAGTAGAAACTGGATCATAATCTGATTGATTTCCATACAGTAAATGAAAAAAGACACTTACCATGCTATTACCAGATTTTGTTGTCGTTGCTGGCCTGACCATTCTTTATAGAAATAATCTGAATTAACTGCTTCTTTTTCAGTTTTAAATTT